CTCCTCTTTCCTTTCCGACTCACACAACAAATAAGGACGATTATTGCACCAGTTTGGACTTCACTATTGCCTTGCCTATTCTCTTCCGTTTAGCGCTAATGACCCATTAGGAATTAGTTGTTTATTGTGAATTGAAAATTATTCAGCACACCATCCCAACAAACCCATTATGTAAGTAACCGTTTTCCTCTTTGCCACGGGGGCACAGAGGAGCGGGAGGCACGAAACCAACGGTGTGACGGAACACCAGACCACCGCCTTCAAAACCCATCAGCAGTGGCTCTCCGGACAAGCCCTCGAACAACGGAGCGGTTCCGTCTCATCGCACGTGTCCGAGGTTTCCAAACTAGAGATGCTGCCAAAGGAGATCACAAGAAGACTAAAGAAGGAGACTCTAGAAGCCAAGAGAGAGAAGAAGGCTCCCAAAAACGCTAGCTATCATCCGGGCGCCTTCGTCATCTGCTGGCTGCCCTTCTTTGTCACGGCGCTGCTGATGCCCATCTGCCCAGCATGCTACTTTTCCGACGCATGTTCTCAATCTTTTTATGGCTCGGTACTTCAACTCTACCCTCAACCCTACCATCTACACTATCTTCAGCCCTGAGTTTCGCGAGGCCTTAAAGAGGATTCTTTTTGGCAGGAAGAGAAACCCAACGCTACAGACGGGGAAGGTTCGCTAAGACTGTTTACACGTGGTCTTCGATTCTTTCTAAAGTCTAAAGTGTCCTAATAGAAACTATAGGTGCATTTATAACTTTATTCATCAATAATTTAAGTGAAACGGAAAGTGAAGGTTACATAAATAAAACTTTGATATTTGCCTTCATGAAGGGGAAAGCAACAACCTAGAATGCTTTCCTAAAATAAAACTGCGAATTTTCGAGACTGAATAGTTGAAACTTCAATTCACTAAATTTTCCAAAGGGGAATTAACAACTAAAGAACCAGCTTACTTTGGATAAAGTTTAGTTGAATTACATTCTTGAGTGTCCCTGGCGGATGGAAAATTAACTTTAATGTGAGTGAATCTCAGGAATAGGTTCTAGGATAAGGATGCAGTCTTAAAGTATACATAAAAGGAAAAAAAGGGAAAATGAAGGTCTAAAAAGTAAAAATAAAAGCCCAAAAAAATTGTGTTGTGTTAAAACTTGAAGCCAGAAACGTGATTTGACGAGGAACAACAGGTCACAAAAATATTGCCAACGTTGAAATGTCAGTAAAATAGAAAAAAAAATGTTTCAGTGGAAAAAAATTTAAAAAAACAGAAAAAGTTGAAGCTTCTTTTGGGGTTTAAATATAAATAAAAACACCTTTAAAATTTCTGGTCTCAGAGTATAACTAAATTATACGGTAATGTAAACAGTTCATATTAAGGTGATTTTCAGTTAAATAAATATTTAAAAATGTGTGTTTTGGCTATGCCAAAAAAAACAACTAAGAAGATAAAATTAATTTACTTAAAATGTTAAATAATGATTTCAAAGACAAGTGGTTTGTTTATCCGGATTCTTTTAGTGTGTAGGGACCTATGATAATGACTTCTAAAAAAGGAGAACACAAACGAATAATAAACGTAACAAAAGGAACAGATATGTTCAAATATTTAAACAAGAATCTGGCTGTCATAGTTGAAAACTTCCTTTGGGTTTAAATGAAATATTATGTGCAAATTTTGTAGCAGTAAAAATTTTTTTGAAGAAGCTGATATTTTGTGAATAACACGGAAAAGCAATTTCTTTAACTTAGCTACAATTTATTCAACAATAAACGTTCAGTAACAACCATTGGCCCTCGGTGGCAACACTGTCCTCGCCCATTTGGAAACTTTGGAGATTACTTTTTACGTAATTAATAAAAAAGTCATCAATGAGAAAACAGTACATTACTATATTGACCTTCTCATGACGGTTGGCTCAAGAAATGACTAACCCTAGAACTAATGATGAGCATGAAACTCACCCTAAACCGGCTGAGAGAGTGAGAGAGAAAGAGTGAAGCAGCTTACACTTCACAGAGTGCCCCTGAACTTCTTTGAGATATATCGAGCTTTTGGCGATAACCAAAGGGTTTAAGAAAGTCTAACACCCATAAAACGTCCACTCACAGAATTCTACTTTTTTTAGCCAAAAAGTGCAGAAAACTAAATATCAATACATATAAAAGTACGATGCAAATCTGGGGAAAAAAAACGTAAAAAATCAACCTCACAGGAAAGAATAAAGAAAAATATTTCATAGACACAAACTCTTGCAAACTGTAAATATCAATGACACAGGAAAATATAAAGAGTAAAAAAATGCGATGAAAAATATTTAAGAATTGCAAAGTCAACTAGAAGAATTTGTGATTTGGTTTAATAGGGATTGATTTGTGGAGTGAAATGGGTTTTGAATCCCCTGGGATCAGTAGCCATGCCAAGAGAGAGACAGAGACAGACAGAGAAGAAAGACTGTAAATTTCACAACAGACTCAACCCCCCTTACGTGTACATTGCAGAGTATACATATGCATATGTGCGTGTATAAAATATTTTAATTTTTAATTTTTTTAAAATTATTTTAAATATGCTTGTCGATGTCATTTTTTTTCAGTAAGTACCATGCATATATTTTTAATTAATCAACGATAAAAAAATAGTGTTCGGGGTTTACCTGTAGTTAATAGGAAACTAAACTAAATATGTCCATGATGTAAATATATATATATATAATATATATATTAAAATATATATTTTATATATATATATTTATAATATAATTTATATATATATATATATATAATATCTATATATATTATTTATAATATTATAAATATTTTTTAAATAATTTTTATTAAATTATATATAAAAAAAAATAAAAAAAATAAATTTATTTTTATTATAAACAAAATATTATTTATATAAAAAGCGCAAGAGTAAATTTTTTTCTGCAAAGCAATTTTTTTTAACTCCATCCGAACAAGAAACTAAAGCAGGTTGGATGTGACTTTCCCTTCCTTTTGTTTTTTTTCCACAAAAGTAGCCTACCAAAAAAGCCTTCGAGGTTCTACGACGTAAAGTCAACCAGGACCTTAATCGTCCTTTACCTCCCGGAGATTTTGTTGACTTGATTGAACTCTGTGTTTAACTTCAAACTGTTTTTCCTGTCAATAACAAGCTCTACAAACAAACCTACGGCATGGGCATGGGGTCCCCCAATAATGCCGTCCTAGCCAACTTATACATGGAATACCTAAGTCCGAACACTCGCCAACATCATCCCTTTCAGCGTCCACTTGGTACGTTACGTGGACGATGTCCTCGTAATAACGCCAAAAACGGTTTTGATGTACGGGATCTTCAGGCAACGGCTCAACGCGTTGAACCAGATCCAGTTTACACTAGAAGAAGAGTCCAATGACAAGCTACCTTTCCTCGACGTCCCTCATTCACAAATAGACAACAACCTAAGATTTCCCAAGTTTATCGGAAACCCACCAATAAAAATGACTCCATCACTTCTATTCCAGTCAAGATACCAGACCAAAAGGAGGCATCATCATCGGTTTTTCCTAAGAAGCATACCCGAATTTGTAGCCTGAGTTTTCCTTGACGAGGAATGTACTTAGGTCCTTACCAAACCTTCACTGAGTTTACAATTTCCTTCTTTTTTCATCAAAGACTGCAAGAAAAGAGCTCGTCAGATCATCAATTCTCCACGCATCAACATCCGCTCCCAACAAAGTTATAATTCTTCCCAACACCAGGTGCACTAAACTCTCAAAAGTACTTTCACAAGCTAACACCGGAGGTCGCCATCGCTTCTAGCCACTTCAATAAGGATCTAACCAGACAAAACCCAACACCCACGAACCATCAATGCAGGAGTTTACACTATACCCTGTGGAGCTGTGACAAGATCGACGTAGTGAAACAGCAAGATACCTCGACACCCCCTCAATGAATACATATACCATTAGGAACGACAACTTAAACAACGCCTGTGTACAACACCGAAATTCCACCAGTCCATCTATGAAATTCAGAGACGCCCAATTAGTGATAAAAGAAAATAATTCCGCACACGCAATGCCTTAATCAGCACTGATCGTTGTTTCGAATACAATTAAACAAAACCTACGGCAGCTTCACATCTCCGAAGTCTTAGCAAGAATCCTCCTGAAAACAGTAAACCCTGCCATCACAATTAAAAAAGTTGCCCCGCCCCCTCTCCTGTTATACTACACAAAGCACAGAGAGTGAGACACTGACACAAGCTGCCTCATTCCATTTATATTTGTCCAACCTATTTTTATTTATGTTACCCAAGTAATAGCTTTTATATCCTTTTACTCCAGTACAAATTAATTGGCTCTAGCCATATTGTATTAACTTTTGTCACTACCACTATACTACACGAACACCACTAGTGCAACATCGAAATGGTACCTCACTAGTATTCACCTCACCTGAGCCTTTAATAGACCCTCTGTGTCCATGTAATGTTTGTAATGGCTTGATAAAGCCCTGAAGCGAAACGTTGCCACAATAAAATGTCACATTAGTTGCCACTTGTTGTCCCTTTTACTTTACATAGTTATATTAACACTGCTTTTTTCTTCTTTCCCTAGATAATCTTGGGTGAAATATAATGAATTCTCTAGTGAAATTCCACCTGTATAGGGTAAGCCCAAGCCGACCAGTAGAGAAAACCATTATGAGCTGAGAAACATTATTACTGGATTATAATATTCATCTAGTCACAGTAATTCTTGACCAGGGGAAATTTACCCCTTGGTCAAAAAAAATTTACTTGATGTACCTGATAACTTGAATAAACGACTAATTTATCTTTCCCGACCTTTTTGTTTTATGTCCCTTTATGATGGGCGGAAATTTTTTTTTTGTAGGGAGGGAGTAAATGGGAAATTAACGTCAAGCAGTGGGGGTTATTATGGAGGAAACGTTGGTGAACCCCTGGGTCACTGATGTGACTCTCAAGTCACCGGCCCTGGTTGTTCAGGTCATCGTCCCATTACATATGTTTCGACCATCAACCATCAGGGATACTCTCAACTTCATGGAAAACGTCTGTGTAAGGTTAACTCTAAAGGCAAACAAATTAAAGAGGCGCGTTTATCCTGTCTTGGGACGTCTTGCTTATCAAGGAAAGTAACCTCAAACCAGAGTTATATATCGGACACCCAACAGTAATTAATATCCACTTCGTTTTATTTTCATTTCACACCGATCTTCAAGTCTCAGGATTCGTGACGACGAATTCCATGGCAGTGAGCAAAATACATCGAGAAAGGTTTATGCCGCCATTAAGTTTTTGTCTACACGTCCTCCACGCCTGCCAAGAGGATGCAAAACTAATTCACCACGCCATTTCCCGTCGACTTTTCGTTTCGTCCTCCACACAACAGTTAGCCAGCGTGACCGTGGCCAATCGTTTACTATTAAACCTATAAACGAGATCACCAAAATTAGGGACCCATTTACACTAATTGCTGCAGGGTCACAGTATTCCCGGGAGGAGAATGCAGCAAGATGAGTTAGAGTGACAGGGACTGGGATTATAAAATACAGTGATAATTTTCCTCGGAAAAGCACTGGCAAAACCTGAATACATTCAGTTATTATTATTATTATTATTACTAGTAGTAGTATAGTCGTCGTAGTCGTATCGTATACTACTAG